TGTGTGTGTGTGTGTGCATGTCTGTCTGTTTTTCTGTCTGTCGGTCTGTGGATGTCAAACAACAGCTACAACTTTTGACAAATGACATTAGTCAATCACACAAATGCAAAATCAATGATAATTTTAACATCAATGATTGCTTCTTGAAGCGGAAAGGATCAACCGCCATGGAGAGTAAGTAGAGTGCCAGATCCCAAGAATAGATTCAAGCCGTGTGTATAAGGACATTTTTTTCCCAAAAAAGAAATGCAAACGAAAGATCGGACATCCGTTAAAATTGGAACGATACAGAGAAGATTAGCATGGCCCCTGCGCAAGGATGACATGCATAAATCGAGAAATGGTCCAAATTTTTCTATTAAAAAAAAGAAACTCCGACGATCTCATCCGACTAAATGATCAACAAACAAGCTGTGAACATTGGCAGGGAGGTTCCTTTTCGCAAACCATGCTAGAACGGGACCATAAAAGAGTTTGTTTGGGGTGGAAGGAGAGTTCATTACACTTAGCCTTTAGGAAGTCAAAAATGAAAAGAGAGAAAGTGAAAATAGCCTGACATTTGCTGAAAATCTGGACAAGCACAGCTCCAATTGCAAAACATGCTATAACACGAATCGACGCCAAGAATCCATGCAAGCCTGGTGACAGAGCCCTCTGCTGAATGCAGAGAACCCAGGGATAAGCACAGGGGTAGTTATGGCTTATTTCAAGCTTTTCAGAAGATTTTCCAATCCTCAAAACAAGGGCCGCAACCCAAGCACACAGGAAAGGAAATCCAACTCTTCATCGACAAAATGTGTTGAAATAGTACCTGGTTTGCCTTCTTGTCATCAGGAGTGGGACACATCAACGGCCTTCGTGATGGAATTCTTAACCCTGAGAACTCCTTTTCCTCCTTCGACGGAAAGAGTGCACCGCCTGTAATTTCCCCTCCTAAGCCCCAAGTGCGCTGTCTCTTTTGCGACCTCGCTCTCACTGCTTCAGCTCTCTTCTCATTGTCTGAGTCAACATCTGTGTGCCATGTAGTTTCAAGGGACTGAAACTTCATCGCAGATCTCCTCGGAAACATTGTTTCATCTACCGTTCGAGTTTCAAGGGAGTTGAGTGTGATCGGAGATCGTCTCGGTGACGTTGTTTCATCTACTGTTCGCTTTACAGGACGCTCACTGCCATCCTTCATGTAAATGCTATCGAGCAATCCCTGGGCACGTCTTCCATCCACATCACTTCTTCCCTCTGCCTCTCCTTCAAGTCCAAAAAGGCCAAAACGATGGCCCCTTTTTTCATCACCATAATCAACCCTTTGGCCAATCGGCTCCAGCTTCCTCTTTGTCCTTGAGATTCCCAGGCCTCCAGAAGCACGCGGAGCCGGAATGTCGCACAGTGGATCGAAATCACTTGCTGAGAGACCAATGTCGGCACTGCTCCTCACCATCCCAACAGACCGTCCATCGTCTCTGTCCGCCAACATGCCATCTCTCGGCAATTGCAGACACTGTTGATCATCAGCAAAGGAGGTGCCCGATGCATGTACACCGTTGTTACAGTTGTCTTTATCGTTGCGGAGATACATACGAACGGGAGAAAGGATCCTGGGATTACAGAATTCATCTGTCCTTCTGCGTGTTTGACTGTCCGCGTCGGAGGCGGCATTATAAATGCGACTTGGCAACTCCAGATCCTCATCATCTGATTGCAAGCCCCTCCGTTCTGAACCATCACTATCATCCTTTCGCAGTTTGCTTGCTCGATAAGGACCCTCATAGACGGTGCATATCGGTCTCTTAGTAAGGCCTTGGTTGCTCCAAATGCGCAGATGATTATCCATTGATTCCACACCCTTCTGAACTCTGGTCATTCCCAAAGGACTCTCCTCCGCAGCCGGTTCTCGTCCCAAACAATCATCCTGATTCCTCTTATTAAAGATTCGTACAGGGCTCTTATGGAGACCATCATGCCCACTTCCACAGAAATGGTTGTCTGGGTTTCGTCGATCACGTAACTCGGCAGCATTCCTGTTCACCAAACACTCATCTGGCTGATTCATCTGGCCAAAGATTCTGTGACCTTGCGTGATAGGGACCTGATTGTTCACATGACTGGCAGTACCCTCACAAAAAGTTTCCAAGAGGTCCTCCCGGAGGCCAGGCCAGAAGTTTGGAATTCTCTGCCCTTGATGCACATCAACCATACCATCACAAGTCACAGGATCGCACTTGCCCTGATCACTCTCCTTCACTTGGGCGTCATCCAGCCGACAGTGCCAATCAGAGGGCCTGGAGTTGCTGTTCTTCCTTCCATCCTCTGCCATCCCAGTTGCCGATGGATAAAAGGGGGCATGGTGGACATTCATAGCCTTTTTGTCAGCCCTATGACCTAAATAATGTGGGCTCGAAAATTTTGGGCAGCAGAAGGCAGGCTTCTTCCTCTCCATGTTACCAACACTAAGGTCAACGCTGTCATCATTGACAGCGTAAGTGCTATGAGACAGATTGTTGGGGAACAATGATCCCCCACATCTATCCGCCCGATGAGAAGAGGGAAACATGCCATCTCTTTCTCTGGTTTCTGCCCCTCTTTCGTCTCCTCCTCGGAATCGGGAACGAGGATGGCAGCAAGGGTCCAAGCCTTCTCCTCCACAGCACTGCAATCCAGGGTTCCCATCCCCATTATCACCATCACACTTTGATGCCCCGAAAGGGGATGCTTTGCGTATGTTGTTTTGGAGAAAACAGCAATGGCAGGAAGGATTGGCTCTGTAGTTGTCATTGGGACGATGGCACGCCATCGATTTTGAATAGGGATTGCTATAAGAATAGGCAACACAATAGCAAGCAGAGGCCCGACAGTCTGGGCAGGCCTCACTGGAGTTTGCAGCACCCATATTTGGATGTTCATGTTGCTGACATCGGGTTTGCTGATTGATCGTGCCAGGTAAGTCGCTGCGTTGTCCACTCACAGAAGGTCTTACGATGCCATAATTATGGTACGAGGGTGTTCTTTGGACTGGTGCGGGGACACAGGTAGCACCCGTAGCCGTATTTCTGGATCTTGATAAAGGAGTTTCCCCTGGTCCCATGTGTCCATGTGGCATTGTTTCGCTAAGCCTCCTTCCGTCAGATTGTATCGGCTCTGGTGCTGTGCACATTGCATGGTGGAAGGATTGCAAACCGGGATTCGACATTGCTGCAGACCGAGATCCCCGCAACTGCCAGTCGCTGTCTCGAACACACCCATTGCCTCTGTTTGAACTTCTATGCTCATGATGCTCAGGGTGTAACATGGCGGAATGAACATTCCTGCTGTCGAGCCTTTGAGACCATGCAGGCATTGTGGCATCTGCATGCTGCAAAGTGTCTGCTTCCATGGCATTACCCATCTTAGAGCACATAGCCTCTTTGTGGTTTGCTTGTTGATCATGCCAGGCAGTACGCACGATAGGCATACCCGCTCGAGAAGAGTTGACGTGATGGGCCACTTCCGCATACTGCCCAACATGATGATTCTCATGACAGAGGTGCGGATGCGGAGAGCCTCCACACGATGAGAATCGCCCATCGTGAGTAATTGTGGTGTCCTGGTGCAGCACATAAGGATCAGGCTGAGACATATTCTGCTGAAATTTCTCAACCCGAGGGCAATGCTTGACGTCAACCTGCTTAAGAAGACAGGCATGCTCATAGCCAGCATTCTTAGACTCCTTAGCAAGACCTTGCCAGACTGGGACATCAGGTGAAACAGTGAAGGCAGCTTGATCGCTAGCATGGTCATTATACTTGCTAGATGCATCACGGATAGGCGGTAGGGGCCCTTCTCCAATCGTCCGATAACATGGCCTGTCTAACGAGTGATCCACTTGAGCAACTGGGAGTGGAAGGATACTTCGCCCATGGTTTTCCGTGTTGACGACGTTGTGATGACGATAAGATGACCCCGGTTCACATGGCTCAGTGGTAAGAGCAGGTCCTGCATCACATCTCCCAATGACATCTGGAAAGACGGCCTCTCCAAGAGTATGAAGCTTGCCGGTGACCTTCAAGTCAAGATTGCAGATCGATTGCAGAGCTGCAAGCGCTCGCTCTGGAACGCCAAATGGAGCAACCAGATCTCTTTGCTGCTGGAAACTGTAGTTGAAGAATTCCATCAGTGAGGGGGCTGAGGACAGGACTGCATGGGCACTTAAAGGATTAAACCATGGGAAGGTTACCAGCAGGGTCTCTGGGAGAGTCTCCACCTCTGGCATTGGAGGAAATCCCCGCTTTGTTCTCTGAATCTGAAAACTGGGTGTTGAATCTGTTGATGTTGGGATCCCCCCAGCCTCTCCGGAAGTTCCATCCTTTTGCCAGTCTTTGTGCTGTGTGTCTGGCATGACACGTGCAGCATTGACAATGAGACGCAGAATAATCTTCCTTGTCATCTCCTCAGATGAAGAGAAGTAGCACTGCAACCTCAGGTTCAATGCCACAGCTGCCGAGAACAAATCAACTTGATGCCTCGCCATCGCCCTGGTGAATGCAAACGTCCCTTCAAAGATCTGAACCCCAGTTTTCAAATCTCAATTAAGCTCTTGCTAGAGGACGGCTAGAAACTACTTGCAGACAGTTGACTGTTGAAAGAAACATACGTGGTTCATCGAGAGAGCACCATGGGTGGTTTCGGCTAAGAAAGGCCAGAGGTCTCATCAACTCAAGGATGATGGAGTAAAGAGCGCTCGGAGCATAGGAACGGGAATGGGTCGTCATGGGGAGCTCCAACAGCAGCCAGCACACGTTCCAGCATCCACACTTGCTCTCTCTCTCTCTCTCTCTCTCTCTCTCTCTCTCTCTCTCTCTCTCTCTCTCTCTCTCTCTCTCTGTGTGTGTGTGTGTGTGTGTGTGTGTNTGTGTGTGTGTGTGTGTGTGTGTGTGTGTGTGTCTCTCTCACACACACACACACACACACACACACACACACACAGAGAGACACACACACACACACACACACACACACACACACACACACACACACACACACACCAGGCCTAATTTGCCCTGCTTTCGAGCATGGGCTTATTTTTTAAGGAATGTCTGCTGATTTCACAAGTTTTTTGGCGTGGGAATGTATGCTTGGATCTGGCCACAGTATCTTCGCGAGGAGGCTCAGAGAGTGTTTGCTGTAGGTGTCATTCCCATGGGCTGCTCCTTTGTAGCACGTGAAAGAAACGGGGACTTCCATGGTGTTTTAAGCAGTGGTGCTCCTCGTGTCACGTGAAGATCTTGTGGACTTTGAGATTATAGTACTCTATACACTCCAGAGGCTAGATAGCAGATGGGGGATGTCTAGCCACAAGCTGACTCAGAGGGCTCTCCAAGTGTTTTTTGTAGGCTATTGGTGGGTCTGGTCGGTGCTTTGTTGCTGGTGGAGCCTTCTGTTTTAGGTCTGTTGCCTTTGGCCCTTCACCTTTTTTAATAGGTTGAAAAAACTATATACATCTGTGCAAGTGTGCCGCTTCGGTGGCAGACGGGTGTGTGGGCACTTACAAACGTGGGGAACCTTGCACCTTCTATTTTGTTGTCCGCCTATGCTTTTTTGTTCTAGGGATGGTTTATGGTGATTTGTGGATGGAATGGGAGAGAGAGTTCGCACACGCACACACGCAAACATGCACAAACGCACACACTCTCCAAGTTTTTCCGGACTATGCTGCCTCTGGTCGGTGCTTTCTTGCTGGTGGAGCCTTCTGTGTTAGGTGCATCGTCTTCTGCCCTTTACCTTTGTTTTTATGGATTGTAAAAACCATGGTTGTCAACCGGACGTCCGGATCGGGATCCAGACGGTCCGGTCTGGACGTCCGGATCCTGTGTCCGGTTTGAGGGGTCCGGTTGGGCCCCATTTTGAGAAAATTTGATTTTTTTTGTTGGGGTCCCCAGGCAATTTTCCAGTGCCTGGTGGACACCCGAAAATTGGTGCTGCAGTTTTTGGTGCACCTTTGGGCCAACCGGACCGGCCCTGAAGGGCCTGTACTTGCAATCTTGGGTGAGCTTCAGCAGGCCAAGGAGAATCGGTTGTGTGTGTGTGTGTGTGTGTGTGTGTGTGTGTGTGTGTGTGTGTTTGTGTTGTCATATTCGCTATACAATAGAAAAAAACATGACTGTGCCAGACTGTTTCGTCGGACTTTCACCGACTTATCAGAGGTTGAACCCCGACAGTCTGCCCAGGATTCATTTGACTGATGGATAAGGACTCACAACATCGCCCAGAGTTAGCGACACCCCTGAGAAAAGTGGTCTGTGTGTGTGTGTGTGTGTGTGTGTGTGTGTGTGTGTGTGTGTGTGTGCACGACACTATGTGTGTATGTGTGTGTGTTCAAAATAAGTCGGATAATACAGCTACAGGCTACAGCAGCGTGTCTGTTTTTTTTTTTTTTTTTTTCCTTCGATCCGGACATCCGGACCTGTTCATTCATAACCAGACCATCCGGTTCTGTATGTCCGGTTGTCCGGATTGGTGTCCGGGTCCGGGGCAACCATGGAATATATATATATATAATATATATTATATATATATCGTCAAATAGAACTGCCCGGTAAACCGTAGGCAGAGAGGGAGAAGAGGACAACAAACGAGGGGCTGTGACAAACTGTTTCGTCGTATATATATATATATATATATATATATATATATATATATATATATATATTTGTGCAAGCGTGTCGCTTCAGCGGCAGACGGGTGTGTGGGCACTTCCCGCTCAATCACACAAACGCGGGGAACCTTGCACCTTCGTTTTTTTTCCCTTCTTTTCTTTTTGAGATGATGATCTAATCTATTCGTGGGGAGCAACACGGCTGGGAACCGGGCCCAGCGTCCCAAAAATGAGCTACTGGGGCCATTACCCGGCTTCGGCTAAGAACAATTGAAGAGAAAGGAAGAACTCGGAAACATTCATGGACCACTACTCAAACTCTACCAAGTCACTAGAATATGTGTGTCAAAAAGCTTCCCAACCACGAATCAGATAGGAGAAACCTATTCAATCCACCTACGACTGCCACCAACATGGCTGTTTTCAGCACGAACCGAAGCTCTTCCAGGCCTCATGCTCCCATCAGGCTAGGTTACAGAGTTGCACCACCTTGCTTCGGCACCGGCCAGCGTTGCTCCAGTTACGACCCCCGATGACCACTGAGACTGCCCCCACAAACAACCCCCCAGATCTCTCTACCAGGCCTCACTTCCCCACTAAGCTAGGTCACAGAGTTGCGCCACCTGGCTCCGGCTCTGGCGAGCGTTGCTCCAACATCGGTCTTCCAGGGCCACCGAATTTTCGACCACCCTTCGCAGGATCATAGATGACTTGGCAGATAGCACCTATTTCTACAACCTCCTCAAGAGGCAAACCAAATGAAAAAAAAATACTAACTAGATGTTAGGATCCTTCGAGAGAGATCACCCTTCCCTCCCCATACCCCTCCCCCCTCAGCCCTACACTGCCTCCGCCGAGGCGAGCCTCCCACTCTCCCTCGGCCCCAATATAGGAACAACCCTCTGCCCCCCTTTCCTCAGGGGCACGCAGTTCCCACCTGAAGCATGCCCCCCCACCCCTTGCCCATTTCTGCCTCCGCTGGGACTGATGTTGACCCACACACCGGCCCCTGCCCCAGAATAGGGCAACCCCCTACTCCACCGCTACCCTCTTTGAGAAATTCACCCCCCACCTTGTGATGCCCCTACAAGATAGAGCTCCCCCCTCCCCCATCTTACAGTTCAGCCCTCCGGGAACGATCCGATCCAGCCGGCTACAGTTCTTGATGACACACTTACCAAAATGTTGAATCAGTTCATGCAAATCGCTATTTGGAAAAGCAGGGCCTCTTCAAAAATATGCAACGACCCCCGAAATCACCCTACATCTTTAAGAACAACCCGCTGAAGAAAGCGCAGGGCGGCAGTAAGACTGTCACAATTCTTCCCCTGCCCCTTGTACCAATCAATGTTTGGCAGCTACCACCACGTGCACGTATCACCAATTAAAAAGAGACAAAAACTAATTATCGGAGAGGGTCTTCAAAATTTATGGCTATAATTCATCCCTACAAATTGTGCTAGCGATTCAGAATGGATGATAACCCGTTAGGGCTTCCGTAAAGTTTCAAGTGCTTAGTGACCAAGGGTATACGTAGTTATACATATATGTTTGTGTGTATGTGTGTGAATGTAGATGAGAATTTGGCTGATCAGAAAATAGAAGATAAGATTAAGAGTTTATTTTTCCAAAATTTGAGAAACTGAATTTATAACTGTATAAGCCCTACAAATTGTGCTAGCGATTCAGAATGGATGATAACCCGTTAGGGCTTCCGTAAAGTTTCAAGTGCTTAGCGACCAAGGATATACGTAGTTATACATATATGTTTGTGTGTATGTGTGTGAATGTAGATGAGAATTTGGCTGACCAGAAAATAGAAGATAAGATTAAGAGTTTATTTTTCCAAAATTTGAGAAACTGAATTTATAACTGCATAAGCACTAGAATAGAGCAAGAATATAGGAAATTAGAAGATGCAAAATTAAAATCAGCGAAATCAATTTGAAAAAGGCAGCCGACGCAAAGAGCGAACACGGAATTCTCCTGCTCCATCGCCGCTGTCATTGCTGTGCCGCTACCTGCTTCCATGTCTTTAACCGGTGAACCAGCTCAAGCAAACGCTTGAAACCGCCAGCTCTTTTTGACGCTCCAGCTTATAACAAGCCTCCCTCCTCCCACTCCGCATGAGAAGATGCTCCTCACTTTCTGCCCGCACTGCCCAACCAACCTTGACTAGATTCGTGCAGGAGCATAGGAGCAGGGCGACTACCATGGAGGGATTGAAGAGGTTGTTTTGTTCCTCCCTTTTTTTTCTTTTTAAAATCATGATTGCTGAAGCAATATTTCAATGATGTTCACGGGACGCTGGACCCCACAAATAGATGGAGCCTTTGTTAAAAAAAATAAAAGGGTGACTACCATGCCCAAGATCTCATGAAGATATCCTAGTCACCATGACAGCCTCCCCTTCCTCTAGCGTGCCAACCCACGACACCACATAAACGAAGCACGGAGCAAGAGACCTCTTCCGCCTAGGTTATCAAGGCTGGAAGAACCCTCAGCTGAAGCATCACGTCGATGGCCGCGCCAGACAAACACCAATGGAACCTCGCGTCATCTCCTGCCGTCGTAACCCCCGTTGCCCACATCAACTCCTTAATATTCCCTCGCAGGGATCCGCGCCGACAAGGCGCCACCAACTCATGAACCGGCCCATGTCGATAGCGGAGCGGCGCGCCGATCAGTCTATCCTTGCACCTTCTATTATATTTCTTATCTATACTTTTTTTGTTTATGGATGATTTTGATGGTATAAGAATGGATTGAGTGAGAGAGTTTGGGGATCTTGACTAACACACATTCCAATCTTGCTAGCTCTCTGTCTTGGCAGATTTGAGCGGTTAGGATCGGGCTCGTACTAGCGAGCTATTCCTTTTTGTGGTCGGATGATCTGTTGGTTGTTCATTATTCATACATGGCCTTATT